CTATTTATGGGTTTTCACCTCTGCATTTTTTGTGTGATGTAGATTGCCTTGCTTTCTTGATCATCATGTGCTCCACTTCTGTACTAGCCATATGGAATGGTAGAATCTCTGTGACAAATTGTGATGGCATCTGGTTGCCAATTTTATGGGTTTTTACCTCTACATTTTTTGTGTGATATAGAGTGCCTTGCTTTCATGATCATCATGTGCCACACTTTGGTACTTGCCATATGGTATGGTAGAGTGCTTGAAAACAATATAAGCTCTCCCATTTGAGGAGGAGATGAAGTTTTAGATATAACCACTCCAAATGTTATGTTTTGCCCAAGCCAGTTTTGTTTTAAAATATGATATTTGTGGACTGAATAATTTGTATTCATTAATTGCAAGTAATTATTATGAACCCATGTGGGCCTGTGTGGCTAGTGTATTAAATAAAGGGGTGTTGGCCTCAGCTATGCTTATATTGACCATTCACATCATTGCTTCTCAGCTTCATTGGCTCTGCGGATATGTTTCCAGCATACTATGTTTTGTGCCAGATAGCTGTATATTTCAGTTAATTTAGCTTGTAACTGTCTTTCATTTTATCCTGTGGTTACCAAGTATCAGTCAAAAAATCTAGTCGGACTGTCTTGCCAAGTGGTCTTTTCTATTTTCATTCCAGTATTGCAATGCCCGCCTCTTGCTTTCACTTCCTCCCCATCTAGAAGCTTGTTCATTGCATGGATATAGGCAGATCACTCACCAGAATATGTGATCTGTGGGTGCACTGGAGAACCAGAGTTTTATGGCATTGTGTCAAAAGTATCAAGTAGCTTGAAACATTTACAATGTGACAAGGGCTTGAATCACATGCCCTTTGCCCACACTGGGATCGTTGCCATGTGGAAATGTTTGGGTGGGAATTATGTTTGCCATCATACTTTTGATAAAGGTGCATGCGATATCATGTTTTTGCAGCGTGCAGCACTGATAATAATAAAAATATGTCAAATTGTATCATTATAATTTGCCCTCAAAAGGAAGTAATATTACATTATGCTGGAGGTCACCATAACAAACATAGCATTCAA